GAAAGACAGTGCAGGCAAGAAAGCTACAAATGCTATTTAGAAGAAGTTTACAAGAAAAGGACTGGAATAAGTATAAGCAGAAAAATTTAGAAATTATTATGCAAAAACTTGGGAACAAGAATGTGAATACTGGAGAACTATTGAATCTAGAATTAAGGCAATATAAGGAAAAATAAAACTTGAAAGACCAGCTACAAAATGACTCAGAAACATACTCGAATCCGGAACTCTTAGCATACCTTGATAAACAAGTATTTTTACATGACCCATATCAACTACCAAATAGAATAATAACCCAAGCGATAGATTTACAATAGTAGAAGAAGAAATATACATTTTATTAGCAGAATGAATCAATCCAAGCAAAAGCTTTTACCTGGAATGGGAGGAAAAGGAAAACTAGACCAGAATGGAATACCAAAGGAAATTATAGAAGTAACGGCTTTAAGAGAAATATTTGAAGAATCTGAATTAGTAATAAAAAATAACAACTTAATAAAAATCCAAGAAAACTCATATTATTCAACAGAAGAGTGGATTGCAACAGGCTGTAGACCAGAACAAGCAAAATATTTTATAACATTAGGGCTATTTATCTTTCGACTAAACGATGAAGAAATGCCTAAAAATAACTGAAGAGCCTTTTGTTGATTCATAGCAATGCCTTTTCCTAATGTATAAAGAGATCCAAGAGATATTAATCCAATAAATTGATTTTCTTTTAAAAAATAACTATGGTCGTTTAAAGAGTCATTAAAAACAAAACAAGAATCATCAGCTGCCTCCTTATACATTTCAAATGCCTTGCTACAGTCAACTTCAGTTCCAATTCCATATTCATAAAAAAATCCAATAATACTTGTAAAGCAAGATTTATACTGATGACTATTATATTGAACAAGGATTTCTTTTGGATTTTTATTATTTTCATCTATGCGTTTTTTTATCTCATAAATTATAGAACTTGAAGTACCTTTTGAAACCCCTTGAATATTAAATTGTTCTATAAATAATCTATTTAAATCATAAAGAAATTGTTGTTCATAATTATTATTCACAACATGTTTGCTTTTAGAAATCGATTTGGCTTTTGTGAATCCTAATATGTCTTCTTGATCATCAAGTAAAACAGGTTTAACATCTTCATTTGAAGATTTTTTAAGAGTTTCTACAATAGAAGACATTAATTCTAATTCTGTATTAATTTCACTATGTAAATTAGTATGCTGTTGTAATAAGTCCGTCATACTTAAGTTTTCCAATTCTATTGTAGATTTTTCTTTATGCTCTATAATTTCATTGAATTCTATGTAATTTTCTTCAATATCGAATAAATCATTATAAACAATGTTATTCAAATCATTAAAAACGCTTTGAATAGTCGGACGCTGATTATGTTGCCAACATTCTAAAAAGAAACATGAAGACTTTAAATGTTAAATACAACATTACTGGATTTTTGCACAAATAATATATATAAATTAATTTACCTATATAGATTTTTCTATATTTCTTAGGCGTTCCAGGAATTGTAGCTTCACGTTTACCACGAATTATTGCTTTCAATAAACTAAATCCATGAAGTAATTCTGATTCAAATGGAATAGTTCCACTTGAAATTTCCCAAAGAAGAACTCCAATACTATAAACGTCTGAACTTTTATCAAGCTTGTAAGTTTCAAGATTTTGTAAATATTTTGGATCTACATATTGGATGAATTTGAAAGTATCAGAAAAGTCATTCTGATATCGAAAAGTACTAAATACATTTAATCTGATATCTCCTTTATGAATTAGTATGCTTTTTGAATGCTTAATTATTAAAAACAATGATTAGTAATAACGATTAAAGAAAAATAAATTATTAATAAAATAAATACATACTAATTTAGAATGAATTATGCCATTTTCATGCAAACATTTAATAGCACTAACAAGCTGCCTTGAAAGACGTAATTTGTCAATCCAATTAATTGATTTAAAATTTTGTTTTAAATATTGACGAAGAGTTTCATCGTAAGCATATTCATGAGCGAATATAACATTACTCTTGTTTTGTTTAATAATGCCTATAAATTTTAAAACGTTTTCATGCAACTCTACTTTTTTATACTTTTTTAGCTAAAATAATAAATTTTAGATTGGTATTTCTTTCTTTTTTTCTTTGATAATAATATTTACTAAAAGAAAACTTACATCATTAACAAAATCTTCAAATGAGTATTTTTGAGTATGTACAATATAGTCCAAAACCACCACTTTATTATGCTTTATTGAGGCAACTCTATAACTATTACTAGATAGAACTGTGCCAATTGTTTCGATTTGTTCAAAAAAATTATTTGGGAGAAATTTAATGTTATATGTTTCAAAGAAACTATTGTCTAATTGTTGTGCCATATCGATATCAGAATTTCGAATGTCCGTAACGGTAACGGTAAGAAAGTTGACGGAAGTTACCGTTACGATAATTAAATTAAGTAATGAATTAATTTATTTGGAATGTATGTACTACGAAACTCAAGTCTGAATTTTAACTGTCCATGCACACGTACGTACGTACGTAGTGCAATGTACAACTAGAAATTGATATTAGGACTCCGAGCTATTAGTGTATAGGTCAGGGAACTAGATGCACAGCCAACTTAATAACTTTTTTTAACCTTTTTTGCGTAAAATTAGCAAAATTTTAAATAATAACTAGATTTTTAACTTGCGTTTTTTTGATCAAATTTTAAAATAATCAAATATATTACAAATTCGGAAATTAGAATGAGTGTCGCCAAGAAAAATAGTGATTTAATAAACATTTTATCGTTGATATAGGAAAGTAGTTTTAGCAATATAATTATTGGGAATTCGATATTGACTTGGCTTTGATATATAAGTAAGAATATTTTTATAGAATATATTCCTTCTTAATAATATTATAATAAATATTTTGAAGTTTTTGCTACAATTGTGAAATTTATTGTTTTGGACATTTTATATATCATAGAAAAGAATTATCTTCTTTTTTTATTATTATTTTTTTTTTTAAAAAAAAAAATTAAGTACTATAATCACTATAACTATCATACGTCAATCTGCATGACTCACCTATTCGATAAACAAATGATTTTAGGTAATTCCGTAAACCTGATATGACTCGAAATCGGCTACTAGTCCAGCTTTATTAATATAAAAATAAAATCAAAATTACAGGAATGAAAGGTACTGTAGGCTAAGGTTAAGTTTGAAGTGACCGGATTGGTATTACCGGTTTTTCTAGATAGGGTAAGATCCTTATATTCAGTCATTAAGAATTTAATTGTTACAAGTGTAACTTGGAGTTCATTTGTTTGTCGTAT